TGGGTGGCTTGCAACCTAAAATCCAAGTACATTTGCAATGTCTTCCCATATCTTGCTGGTACTATTGTACCAGTGCTCTGAATGGTGCCACAATGGACCACTGATCAACGACCACTGAACGACGGGGTGACGGGTTGCAGTGTTGCACTCACTTTTTATTATTATTAGTACATATGTGTACAAATGGTTGGTTTTTTGTACTGTAAGCAATGGGAAGGTCAAACAAAATCACAAATGCATGCATAGATACTAATTATAATTCCAGTATCTCCTCCTCTGTGTCAGAATAATGTCTGAAATATCTTACTTACTAACTACATCCACTTCCTTGCTTGAAATGAAAAAGGAAATAACATGAAATGAAACTACTGTTTTTATCAATAAATGTCAGCAACAAAGGACCTAGACTCATGTGTGTTGATTTCTCCACACTCACTGCGGATGAGGAGACTGCTTCTCCACCGAAAAAGAGAGCTTGTTTGGGGACTGAGACACTCATCTGCAGTGTGAACAAATTCAAATTGTGAGCAATGGGAAGGTCAAACAAAATCACAAATGCATGCATAGATACTAATTATAATTCCAGTATCTCCTCCTCTGTGTCAGAATAATGTCTGAAATATCTTACTTACTAACTACATCCACTTCCTTGCTTGAAATGAAAAAGGAAATAACATGAAATGAAACTACTGTTTTTATCAATAAATGTCAGCAACAAAGGACCTAGACTCATGTGTGTTGATTTCTCCCCCAATCCCCTCCCTCCAGAATTCCTAGGTAACGACCCAATATACATATGAATGACTAGCCAATTTAGCTTCCACTTCCAGCATTTGACTGCTCTCCGGCTTTTAAAGGTAGAAACGCAAAATGATGACTCCGCGGGGGTCTAAGGTACTACCCCGAAATGACTGCTCTCCGGGGGTGTAAGTGTTAATTTAAACACAACTAACTACAAAGCTTCCCAAGGCTCGCAGCATCTGTCAACTCTGTGCTGCCCGACCCCCTCTGATGAAGGACCCGCCTGTCGTCCCAGTTGGACAGCAGCGCTAATGCTAAGAGACAGATACCTCGTTAGCACTGATAGCATTTGCCTGAGGGTAAACATCTATTGTTAGCATGATAGCATGGCCCCACAGGGGATGGTTATTTCCAGTGTGAGTCTGCTAAGGGTAGATGGTCTTGCTGTTAGCATGTTAGCGCTGGCCTCAGGGATCTGCACCAAGGACACACACACATTCACAAAGAAAGTAGACGAGGACATCTGTCAGCACCTATGTGTCTGATCCAATACTGATTCATTGATTAGCAGTTTGGCAGCGATTTAGCAAATTTAGAAACAAAAAAACAGATGAATAAGTACATTTCAGCAGTTTGATTTTAAAACTGCAAAAAGTGGATTCTTTTTTGAGTTTTGGTCAGTCTGTGGACCATTTATTAAGAAGTTTACTCAGGAGAAACAAAAGCATATTGAATCAACAGCTCCACGGCTGGAAGAAAGACTGAAGAACCTATTAATTAACAGTTGTTCTCTGAATTTGAATGCATCCGAATAGCTTTACTTCCAGTGTGGGTGGGTGAGACAACCTGGAGATTTAACCATATTTGCTTTATATCTGTAAATGTATAGCGATTACACAAGCTTATAGGTCAATTACTGCCAAAAGAGGGGTTGATGTTTCACTAACCTGACGCACCAGATGTTTGTTATGCAGAACCATCTGGAAGGTCATCATCGTAAACTGTTTAGAAAAAGGCCAACACTAAAAAATAGGTTACTGAATTACAAACAGATGTCTGTTGCCGTGTATGAACTTTTGAACTCTCACTGTTTTTAACTTTGACACATAACATCAATGAACCACTACCAGAGGAACCAGCATGGCAACAAAGTTCAGCTCAAACTCAAACAGTAGATTGGCCAAATGCTGTAGCCCCAATCAACTGATAGGTCAGATAGTTTCCTTTTACACTTGGAGAAGCTGAATGTCATACAGGGTTCAATATTTATGCATTTGGGTCTCAGGTTTTCACTTGATCAGTGTCAGCGCCATAGACAAAAGCCTGTAATGATTAAATACTCTCCAGCTCTGACAAACAGTCATGTCCTGGTCGTTGTGTCCTTGGGCAAGACACTTTACCCTACCGCCTACTGGTGTTGGCCAGAGGGGCCGATGGCGCGATATGGCAGCCTCGCTTCTGTCAGTCTGCCCCAGGGCAGCTGTGGCTACACCTGTAGCCTCCGCCAGTGTGTGAATGTGAGAGTGAATGAATAGTGGCATTGTAAAGCGCTTTGGGTGCCTTGAAAAGCGCTATATAAATCCAATCCATTATTATTATCATTATCATTATGTCAGGAAGAAAGCTTGAAGTTAATAACCATCACACCTAAAGCACCTCTATAGCTACCAATGTAGGAAGACCAAGTACTGGGTCCAAGTGCTTAGCTTGAAGTTGAGTGTACTGGCAGTTATGCTTTGTGAATGAGCCAAAACATTAAAAGAAGTGAGAAGTGCACAGCACTGAGCTTCTTGCAGACCTAACTTAGATTGTAAATCTGCTGAGTTACATGCCCTGTTAGCAGCAGCACTCCCCGATGGCAGTCGTCTCTCTCCCGATTAGTGTCAAAAGCCTTCCAACTCCCCAGATTCCAATCAAATCAGGCCTCAAAGGGATGTATATGAACAAGCCTGAACTATGGAGGCAACCAAAGGTCCACCACCAAGCTGGTACAAAAGAGGTCATGATGCAGTCACAGTTTTGTGCAGTCTGTACCTTTGCAGATCAGGACTGATCTGGCAGCATAGAGAGGGGGTGTAACAAAACATTGGCACAGGTGGTTTTAATATTGCTGCTCACTGGTGTAGATGCCTCCTTCTTTCCTTCTTTCCTCTCAGGTTTCACTTGTTTTAGCCTAAATGGGGATTTTTCTGGGTGATGACACACAAATATGGACATGTTTTGATTCAGTCTAAATCCGGGAGGACCATAAAATGAGCCAGTGATTTACAGAATGACTTTTGGAGCCTCAGCAGTGAGTATTATTTTGTCTTAAGACTTAATCCCTGACTGTGAAGGATCTCAGAGTAATTTGATTAGAGCTATTGTGTGTACGGGGATTTAGCATGTGGGAGCGCTTTGTGTGAAACAGGAAGCTGCTCTTCATCAGCTACACAGCGGCAGATAAGTCAGCTGCAGAGATGATGTCTGTTTACCATGGAGATAAGGACACTTTATCATCTGTTAGCTTATTACCACATGGAGATTGGGCTGTTCTGTGTTGATGGGAGGAAGAAAACCCACTGGAAGCGCTGATAAAACAATAAACATGCATGAAAAATGGCAGAGTTCAGCATATTCAGAAGTGTTCATGTTTGTTTGAAGAAGACTGTTAAAAATGCCAAAGAAAGGCGACCCGAATGTGACAAGATAACGCTAAGAAGAAGGAAAAAGCTGTCACGGTTTTGCACCATTAAGTCAAAATGAAGCACAGTGTGACTGAGGAGTCATAATAAAGTGTACGAGCTAGATTTTACTCGTGGATTGTTTGCTGACCTGGATTTATGGACAACTGGAGCTTAAAACAAGACAGACAATGAGACAAATGGCATTATTAGAGAGAGAGAGAGTAAGTGCGAGGGAAGAGAACGGGAGGTGAGCGAGAGGCCAGAGGATGGAGGGACTCCTAGTGACAGAGGATGGAGGCAGATGACGAGGTTTTTACTGTTGATGTCACGCTGGTTTGCAAACAGCCAGTGAACTCACAGGTCACAGGAAGGTAGGCATTACTATGAGCACCGGCACTCTGTAACCTCCGGCCGAAGGCACAGAAGCAAAATGAAGCAGATGTGGGACGAGAGAGACAGCTGGCCTTTAAAGGGACAGTTCTCCCCAAACACTCTGGTCTGTAGTGTTTTTCATTCACTTCTGTTTATTCTGGATTGTTTTGATGTGAGATGCCCAGTTTGTCAGAGATGTCTGTCTTCTCTTGAATGTAATTGAACTAAATGGTATTGCCTTGTGGGACGAAAATTAAAAATGGCAGCGTTGCTGTCTCTTTCCAGAAATCGTGACCCAGTAAGTAAAAAAACAAACTCCATAAACCTCCAGGAGCAGCGTCGTGTTAGAAGGCTTTTCCTTCTGCTGAGAAACGTTTCTGTTACTACGTCTAACGAAAGACTCGTGGCTGTGACCATGTGACAGGATGTAAACATTACTTTCCTCTGATGTTAGCTAGCAACACAGTTTTTTTGTTGTAGTTGGTGATGTAAATAATGGAATAATGGCCTGTTTTATTTTTGAGTAAATGTGTCAGAAAAGACACAAATGCTGGGGCACTGAGGATAACAATAAGAGTCCACTGATTAATATTCAGCAACAAAAAGGAAGAGAAATGCTAACGACAGTGACATGATCACTTGTGACTGATTATTCTGCAGAAACTCTACATTCTTAGTTATCATGTAACTACATGTAACCCCTTTACCGCATACGCCGTTACATTCCATGGCGACCACGTCGACCTGATGTGTGGTCATATTTCTCAGGAGGTGCACGTCAGGTTCTGTGGAAGGTTAAGGGTAGATTTCCCACAGAAGTCTAAATCAGGTCACATGTTTTGAGCAACGTTTAGTTTCATTAAACAAAAGAAAAGAAAAGATGTGGGAGTGGGGTGTTGGGGCAATAACCCACTGCCCCCCCATCCTTTCAAGGCCCATGGTCTGAGTCAAATTTGTTCCCCTTTTCAGATCTTGGTATATTAAACATCGTCAGTATGTTGGAGTCATATCTAACCACGTCTATGTGTTTAATGTTACTTCAGTTATATGAGCTGTAAAGATTTTTTTTGTCAGACATGTAATAAACACACTTGTGGAAACTTTGTTCCAGTAGATGTTGGGATTTGTTAGTTTGGCTCCAAATGGCAGACGGACTAAAGCATTCAAAAATGATCTAAATAAACATTAATGAAACCCTCTTGTTCTGTGTTTCTGTACCAGTCTGCTCACAGTTCTCTAAGGGAGTGTACGCCATCATGGGTCTGTACGACCGGCGGACGGTCAACATGCTGATGTCCTTCTGCGGGTCTCTGCACGTCTGCTTCGTCACGCCGTCCTTCCCCGTGCAGACCAACAACCAGTTCGTCCTGCAGCTGCGGCCCCAGCTGCAGGAGCCCCTCATGGCCCTGCTCGAGCACTTCTACTGGACCAGGTTCGTCTACATGTACAGCTCTGAATCAGGTGAGGACGCCAGCATGCAGCACAAATGGTTTCTCTGTATCAAGCTTCGTGTTGGAGTGCCTGTTCAGCAAGCAGTGCAACATTACTCCTGAGCAAAGTGTGCGGGTCTGAGGAGGGGGCGGGGTTAAAGAGCACGTGTTTGTTCGTTCTCGATGTTCTCAGACTCTTTAGTCTGAGTGGAGAACTGAAAGTAAGAGAAACCTGGATTTAGAAATCAATTTGTTCTAATGTTAACGTGATGCTCTCGGTGGGTATAAAAACAAAAATAGATACCTGGAAGATTATTTTATTTCATTATAAAACCAAAGCTTTAGAAATGACAAACAATGAGTTACGGTAACATTGCGGTAAGTCTGAAGTTTTCTCATGTCAGCAAACAGAAAAAGGGGAAAATATGTCTGGTTGGTCTGACACTGAAGCATTCAGGGTCAGCATATCCAGGATAGAGAAACAAGAAGAAGCTGGTTGTCAACTCGATGAATTAACGCAGACCTTATCGTTCTGACCAAACGCAAACACGGACGGGTCCACTGGCAGCAGATTTCATAAAAGGAGATCAATCTGTGATATTAGCAAAATATGTGAGACATCAATCAACAGTCAAAGCAGCAGTGTGTGAGTGTGCGTGACGAGGGAAGTGTTGTACGGCGTTTTATTTTTAACAGTCAGGAAGGAAAGAGCTCAGTGTGCTCAATGAAAGCTAATAGGCTAATCGCTTTCACGGCGCTATCATCCAGGCACGCGGCGCCATGGCTGTAATTACAGATGTGTATTCCAGTAAATCAGCGTGTCGCTCCGATGGCTTCTTCTGATGTGTGACACAGTTTCACACTCCGCCTTCTAGCTGCAGCTGCCTGCGCTTTTAGGAGAAGATCACTGCAGATGCTTGCAGCCTCGTCCTCAGGCTCTGCATTCATACAGACAAAGACTTTAGACCATCTGAAACTGTAGACGTGACAATAGTGAACAACATCTGCCACGTGTGCAATTTCAGCTGATCATAACGAGCTGCAAAAAAAGGAGTCGTCTCTGTGGTTGACTTAAGGCTGCTGAACATGAACTCAGTGTTTGTCTGACTACTGAAAGATTCACTTGTGCAGACACAAACTTTGGATTGTGTCCTGAAAACTTCACCTCCAGCTCTTTGGTTCAAGCAAACAACAACCTTTGGAGAATTGACCAAAAAAGGTCTGTTAGCTTGGTCGGCCTCCCTCCCTCCTGCGCCAGGCCGAGTGTCCCCCCGCAGCCCGTGATCTGTTATAGTCCATTTGGCAATCGGCAGCAGACTGTCTAATCTTATTGCCTCTTTTACATCTACCCGGGAAGTGTTATTGGAAGTCTATGTGGTGTAATAGTGCATGGCTGTCTGCCTCGGCAGTGCAGTCTGTCTGATGTTATTGCTCCTCGACATCTGCTGAGGACACTGGCTGTCTGTTGGAGGCAGAGGGGATTTCCTGAGGCCGAGCGCCTCCAGCTCAGCTCTGATTTACGTCCACTCTCAGCGTCTGCACAAACAGGAGGGTCCCTGCTGGGGATGAAATGGAACAGTCAATCAACAGTCAGGCTTCAGTCAGACTGCAGTAATAGTTTAAGTAGTTAGAAAGAAAAATGGTTTTCAGAAATCCGAATTCACTCCGTTTCTTTTTGACTTCAGGCTCAATTATTTACTCTTTAGAAATGTGTGAAAAAGAGGAGAATCAGACTGAAGGACTGGATACTGCAACTGGAAGAATTCTCAAAGTGTCTGAAACGAATGACTTAACCAGCCTTTTCCATAAAATACAGATTTAAATACTACAAAGCCCTGCGACAGGCCGGGGCCTGTCCAGGGTCTACCCCACCTCTCACTCCATGCCAGCTGGGATAAGCTCCACCCCTCCCCAACCATGACAACCCTGAATTGAAAAAGCAGAAGAAAATGGATGGCTAAGCAGCAGTGGACTGAAATGGTTCTGACTAATTCAAATTCATGTGACAGAAAAACTGAAAAGAAAGGTTAGAGAGGAAAAGTTGGATTTTATGTTATAAGAAATCTGGACTAAGGTAAAGACTGAATTTAAAAAGTTGGCCTGGAGTAAAGTTATGTGAGGAAACTGGAATGACCTTTCACATGAGAGAAAAAGCTTCTGTGCAAGCGTGCTCTCCTTCTCCCTATTTTTCCTGCCTCGTTCTTTCCTCTTCCTTTCCCCTCTTCGTCGTCGGGTTACTTCTCATTACTCCGTCTCTTCTTCTGTTCCTGCTCTCTGTACTCTCAGCTTGTACCTCTCAGTAAACGCAGTGTTGAGAGCCTATTTTCTGCTTGGCTGCTGGTGGACGACTCACAGCCACAGGCTCAGCTCTGCCTATTTAGTGTGTGTGTGTGTGTGTGTGTGTGTGTGTGTGTGTGTGTGTGTGTGTGTGTGTGTGTGTGTGTGTGTGTGTGTGTGTACACCACAAACACATGTGTACGACTTCACTAACCTCGCCATTTATTACATAAATGAACTTGCCGGCGTGTTCGAACCTTATTCAACACATGGACAGATAAAAAGTTATCAAATCTGACTCATCCCATAATTGTCTCTCTGTGTTGTTGCCATGGATACAGACTTACAGATGTGAGAGCCTGCTGAAAGCAGAGTAGTTACAGTGAAGTGTTTTCAGCCCTCCATCATTTCATCCTCCTCTGAGCCCTGCCCTCCTCGTCTCCTTTCACCTTTTCCTCCTTCAGTCTGACATGTCCTGTCCTTCCATGTTGTAAAGGGTTTTTTTCACTCTCATTTGAAGGATTTTTAGGAATGTTCTCTTTGTCTCTGTCCAGGATCTGAAGATGTTTTCACTTTTTTCTAGTGAGGAAAACCACAAAGATCTATGAGCTGTAGCTCTGCAGAGTCCGACCTGCACTCCTTCCATTTAGACAGATTTCCACCCGCCCTCGCTGGCGAAGGGCCAATCACAGCCGCTGATCTCATACAGGGCTGATTTGATTTGATGGCCACATGTAACCATACACAGCAGAATGTTATTTACTCAGTTTGATACAGCATGAGTGAACATGTTCTAAATGTCTGAGAGAACTTCAATAAGCTGATCAGAGTAACCCACATGGAAAAGAAATAGAAAAAACTTATAAAAGACTTGCATCAGATGTGGCCTACTTCATATAGTGAATCATAGAAGGCTTATATGATTTACTCATGAAAGTGGCCACTTTCTCATTACTTTCATATATTGTTTTAGTAAGTAATAATAATGGATTGGATTTATATAGCGCTTTTCAAGGCACCCAAAGCGCTTTACAATGTCACTATTCATTCACACACTGGTGGAGGCAGCTACAGTTGTAGCCACAGCTGCCCTGGGGCAGACTGACAGAAGCGAGGCTGCCATATGCCATCGGCCCGATGGCGTGATATGACAGGGGTAAAGTGTCTTGCCCAAGGACACAACGACCAGGACAGAGAGCCCGGGGATCGAACCGGCAACCTTCCGGTTACAGATGCGCTTCCCAACCCCCAGCGCCACGGTCGCCCCAAGTAGCCAAAAACATATAAGTTTCATTTATATAATTTTTCAAGGGATCTTATATCTGTTTTCACTCTTGTATGCTTTTCATGCAAGTTTCACACAAGACAGAAACAAACTTTATAGGATTTATATAAATCTTTTCCATGTGGAAAACGCTGCTGAGACTGTGGAGAAGAAAGAGCTACGACTGCACAGCTGTCCGTCCTTCTTTGTTCCTTCATTTCTCCTCCAGCAGAACATTTGATTCAATTTTCTTTTCATTTGATCCCTGTTGATAGTTTCTAAACACACATACTTAGTTCTGTTAAATATTGTTTCACTGTTAGATTATACAGATGATAAGTACTTTTTCTGATAAGTCAAAAACAGCGCCAGCTAAACTGGAAGAAGTTGATGTGTCAGATATAAAAACTTGAGGAATGAAGTCGCAGATACTGACAGTAGAAACGGGTTTCTTTTGAAGGAGGGCTGGGCTCTCCCTCAGAGATAGGGTGAGGACCTCGGCCATTTGAGGGACTCGCAGTAGAGCGGCTGCTCCTCCACATTGAAAGGAGTCAGTCGACATGTTTCGGGCACGGAACCGAACATCTCCTTGGCGAGGAGCAGAAAGTGGATGGATGTGATTGTTGCACTCCGGTGGAGATGGTCGGTTAATATTCGGGTCCTCTCACTGAGACCATTTTTTTCCTGTGGGCTCATTCAAGGTAAAAATCCTTGACCTGAGACAATAAACGCTTCCTCTCCTGTGTTCTCTGAACTGTCCAGAGGATCAAGAAAGCTTTTACATGTTCCTTTCATCTTGTGCTGCTTCTTTATTTTTTTCTATTTTCTCATCTTTTTGCTCACCAACGACGTGGTTAAAGCGGACGGCGGGAGCTCCGTCCACTTATTAAAAGAGAAAAAAAGCTGGACATATGGACGGGCAGCAGCTGTAAAGGAAATAAACCACGGAGAAGAAATGAGCAGTCTCTGTGTAATTGAACATGAAACTGTGTGTGTCTGTGTGTCGTTGACATAACTGTTGCCGCATCGCCAGTTTAATATCCAACACACACACAAATATGTGCACGTTCATGCACCAGCACACACATTACAGGCTGAGGCAGCAGAGAAAGAGAGCGCTGCTTCTTCTTCTCTGCTGGAGTAAAAAGAAGTGTTTTTATGACAGCTTTTTTTTTTTCATCTACTTTTGCAAACTGAGGGAGAGACAAGCGCAGAGTTCAGACTGTGACAGCCAACAAATGTTAACACTTGGTAGTGAGCACCACGCAGACAGTAATGCTGAGTCATGCAGTCGCATTTATTCTTAAACTAAAATATTTCTGTCTTACTTCCTGTTGTTTCCTCAGAGTGGAGCAGCTGTTAGCACAGTGTTGACCTCAAGCTAGCCTTCCAGTTTTGTTGGTTAGTGTTAGCTAAGACTTGTTTGACATAACCAGACTGCAGAACTTCATCATTCATGTGACTGTGTATTTGTGCTCCAGAGCACAGCC